GTATGTGTTAAGTCCAAACGCTTTCACTGAAGCCCTGGCCTAAGAACCAAAAAAACCAGAACAGTCTGGTGAAGTCCAAACAAGCAGCATCTTTCAAATAAATCAGCTGTTTCCCTAACAGATTCAGAGGACCTTCTAATCAAAGGGTTTCATTTTAAAAATAGCTCATTCAGAAAAAACCTACTGCTTTCATGAGTGTATAGATACAAAGCAGTAATTGGAGTTAAGTGAATCCTCTTGGCAAAGGTCAAGCTGTATTTCCTCTGACTCTAGAGCCTCCTCCTCACTTGCTTTCCAGCCCTGTTCTGGGACTACCTCCTCCTGTTGGTGGAGTTCCCTGATCTCACCCTCCTCCCTCCTTGCTGGTGTCAGTGGCCCCTGGCCTCACACCCAGTGCATATCACAGTATGGACTTGAACCATCCCAGTTACAAAACGCTGGCATAAGAGGCAATCCCAGCTTTGGTTCACTTAATGTAAACAAAGGCACCGTGAGACTGGTTTACCTGCCTTAACTGCAAGACTCACGATGAGAGGAGCACTGGGTGTTATACTATAGGTTGGCAAATTGAATTAAAAAAAAAAAAAAAAAGACTGGCCCAAAAGGCAGGTGCTTACTAGCTGCTTTGATTGATTGCACAAACTCCCTTGTGTGTGGAGGCCCTCACTTCTTGAGGTTTGTGGAAAAGATGGTGTAGAGAGAGAAAAATCATATTTGTAAGTGTGTGAAATCATGTACTCTTGGAATAAAAACGCTGGGAAGATCTATATTTCGTTAATGCGATTAAAATGAAGAGTTTCAAAAGAATGACATTTTATTTATCTACCATCTTGATAGTCTCCAGGGAGGGTTCAGTTGGGCACAGTGGGATTTGAAAACCAATCGGGGGGCAGCCCGGGTGGCTCACCGGTTTGGTGCCACCTTCAGCCCAGGGTGTGATCCTGGAGACCCGGGATTGAGTCCTGTGTGGGGCTCCCTGAGTGGAGCCTGCTTCTCCCTCTGCCTGTCTCTCTCTCTCTCTCATGAATAAATGAATAAAATCTTAAAAAAAAAAAAAAAAAGAAAACCAATCTGGGAAGTGGGCCACTTATTTACTCTCTTAAAGAGAAAGAAGGTTAATGGTGGCGGTCTCTTGGTGGCTGCTTTATGGGATGTCTAATTTTCTCTATGCATTTTCTGTATAACAATTCTAAAATTGTTACAGTGGGATGTATTATCTCTATTGTCAGACAAATAATAAAGGTTATGAAATGAAATATCTTAAGCTCAAGTGATTTGTTCCTTGGGTGAGTTAGTTTGAGAATTAAATTGCCCTTCCAGTTTCCTTATGGTTAAAAGTCCTAAAGTCAGGCTCCTGGCAATTTTGAGTCACGCCTCCTCTGCTCTGTGGCACCTAGTGGGTGGCTACCGTGGCAATGGAGCAAGGGTGAGAGATGCGGCAGGCACCTCTACAGCCGTTCAAACCTCCTGCTCTCGGTGATCAGTGAGGAAGATGGCCAGAGGGAGCAGCCGGGTCTTAACAGCCTGAAAACGAACCCATCTGCACAAGCTGTGGCTATTCTCCACTTGGACAAAAAGAAAAAAAAAAAAAGATTTTAAAGTTTAAGTGGTGACTGGGAAGGATAATAACTACTTCAATATGTTTAGTATTGGCTGGAATGTTCTTAACAACTGTTAAGCTAGAAAGAGCTTGGTACTACAGAATTGGATCGGAAGCCTCTTGGAGCAGAGGCCTTGCCTGCAGTTTCATTCCTATCATGTCCTGGTCTTGCACCTCTCTCCCAGCACCAGAAACCTCCAGGAAAATGAGGGTAGCAAAATCTCAATTTAGAAACGCCAAATCAATGCATTCAGGTTTTGTAAAAGCAAAAACCTAAATTTGTGTTTACAAAAGGAGTCACAAAAAAGCTTCTTCAAGTAGTGAATGTCTTTGCAGTGTTTAAAAGATTTTATTTGCAATCGTTTGTATGTTTCCAAGCACATTTGGGTCACATATGAGATAAATATGTAGTGATCTCTTACTGTAAGGGCAGGTGTTTTTTGTTGTAAAGCACTTGTTAATTGGGTATAACATAGGAACTCTAAAGTACAAAACTTGAGTATACGTCTTCGTGAGTTTTTACACATGGGTATACCCATGCCAAGACCACTCAGACCTTCAAGATACAGAGCATTTTCTGGATCCCAAAGGGTTTCATTATGTTCCTTCCCAGTCAATACTCTCTCTGCCAAGGGAAGAAGTTTGTTGACTTCTCTCACCATCAGTTAGTTTTGGCTTATGTGGAAGTCCAATCTATAAAAAGAACTAAAAGAGCAGCTATACTGGTAGGTCAGAGGACCTAGACCCCACCACTCCATTCTTTCTCCCCCCCCCTTTCTCTCCCTCCTTCTCTCTTTATATTTGATTAAATATATTAATATATAATATATTTTATATATAATAAAAAATATCTATATATAATAAAATTGGCCATTTTAACCAATTTTAAGTGTATAATTTAATGGCATCAATTACATCCACAGTTGTGCAATCATCACTACTATTTCTAAAACCTTCTCATCACCGCCAAAAGAAACGCTATCCATTAATAGCGTCAGTTCTTCCCTCCCCTCAGCCCCTGGTAACCTCTACTCTGCTTTCTGCCTCTGCCAATTTGCCTACTCTTGATATTTCATGTAAGTGGGATCATATAATATCTACCCTGTTGTGTCTGGCTTCATAGCATAATATTTTCTTTTTCTTTTTTAAATATTTTATTTACTTATTCATGAGAGACTCAGAGAGAGATACAGAGACACAGGCAGAGGGAGAAGCAGGCTCCATGCAGGGAGCCCGACATGGGACTCTATCCCAGGACCCCGGGATCACACCCTGGGCCAAAGGCAGACATTCAACCACTGAGCCACCCAGGCGACCCTTAGCATAATATTTTCAAGTTTCATCCATGTTCTAGCAGCAGGTATCAGAGCTCCATTTCTTTTTCTGGACAAGTAATATTGCATTGTGTAGATATATTTTGTTCATCCATTTGTTGGTTAACACTTGGGTTATTTCTCTGGTGTACTTTGTAAAAAGATAAAGTAATTACTTTTATTTTCTTGATTTAAGTAATCCTATGTTTGGGTAAATATTGGACATTTAAAAAATGTAAGGGGTGGGATCCCTGGGTGGCTCAGCAGTTCAGCGCCTGCCTTTGGCCCAGGGTGTAACCCTGGAATCCCAGGATCGAGTCCCACGTCAGGCTCCCGGCATGGAGCCTGCTTCTCCCTCTGCCTGTGTCTCTGCCTCTCTCTGTGTGTCTCTCTGTATCATGAATAAATAAATTAAATCTTAAAAAATAAAAAAATAAAAATGTAAGGGGTGAAAAGCAAGCATTTTTTTCTTAAGATTTTATTTATTCATTTAAATAAATGTCTCTTTGAGACAGCATGAGCAGGAGGAGGGGCAGAAGGAAAGGGAGAAGTAGACTCCCTACTGAGCAGGGACACCCCCTCCCCCCATGTGGGGCCTGATCTCAGGACTCCAGAATCATGACCTGTGCCAAAGATGGAAGCTTAATGACTGAGCCAGCCAGGCGCCCTGAAAGCATGTCTTTATAATTATGATTGAACAGATTTTATAAACATTACCTCTATTTAGTTTAAAATTATATTAAACAAGATAATTCTTTATTTATTTATTAAGAAGAACATTGCCTTTATTTTCCTTGGGCAACAAGATAATTCTTTTAAAGCACCTAGTACGATGCTTGGAATACACTAAGCATTCAAAAAACTAGTTTTTAAATCATATTTTCAGGAAACAAATATTTTTTAAGATGGAGCACAATCTCTGGCTATTTTAGCATAGTCTTTAAAAAAAATCTATTTGAGAGAGAGTGGTGGGGAGGGGCAGAGGGAGAGAGAGAATCTCAATCTTCCTGCTGTGCACAGAGCCCGACATGGGGCTCAGTCTCACAACCTTGAGATGACCTGAACCAAAATCAAGAGCTGGGTGCTTAACCCAGTGAGTCACCCCAGCGCCCCAGCACAATTTTATTTCACATTCTTACACCAGAGTCCAGTCAGCTGAGAGTAGTCAACCACCATCTATTTAATATATACTATGTGTTAGGCATTGTTCTAAGCACAAGGGATCTAAGAGATTTTACAGTTTACTTAATTCAACCCATCACCCTACAGTAAAAAAAAAAAAAAAAAAACCCTGAGCCACAGAGAGGATTAGATCCATGGTCATTATAACCACTAAATAGCAAAGTTGGATGCTTTTTCTTCCATCTGTCTTCAAATAGAATTTGATAAGTGCATGTGGACTTGAGTGGACAATCCATTCCCCCAGAAGGCTACCTTTGCCCATTCTTCTCCGTCGTCCGTGGTAGAATCAATTATGTCCACCAATTTGACACTGTCTTCAAAAGGCAGGACCTAATTCTCCTTCACTTACGTAAAGGTTGGACTTAGTGACTTGTTTTAAGGGAGAAGTGACGTTGCACAACTTTGGAGGTCAGGTCTTTAAGGCACTGTAGCTTCCTCTTGCTTGGTCTCTCTCACATTACTTGCTCTGCTGGAAGTGGACTGCTCCACTATGTGTGAGGAAATTCAAACAGCCTGTGGAGAAGCCATAGGCAAGGAACAGAGGCCTCTAACCAAGAGCCTTGTGAGTGAGTCTTCTTGGAAGTGGATCCGCTGCCCCAGACAAGCTTTCAGATGACTGCAGCCTTGGCCATCTGCTTAACTGCAATCTCATGAGACATCCTGGGCCAGAACCACCCAGCTAAGCCACTCCCGGGGTCCTGACCCCCATAGAGGATGTGAAGTAATAAATATTTGTTTTATGCTACTAAGTTTTGGGGTAATTTGTTATGCAGCAATAGAGAACAGATATACTCTCTTATTATCGCTTTATATTCACTCCTACCCTCTCCTGACCTCCCTCCAATAAGTTATTTTATAGTTTGCACTCTGGGGGCAATGACTAACACATTTTTTTCAGTTCTACATTTATTTATTTAAAAGTTTCATTGAGATGTAATTTACATACCATAAAATTGGCCAATACGTTAAAAAACCACATAAGAGTTATCATTTAAACCATTTTAAAGTATACAATTCAGAGGCATGCTGTGCAAACATCACCACTGTGTAGTTTCAGAACTTGTTCACCACCCAAATGGAAACTCCCTATGGACACATTTTAAAGGATAAAAACTTTTTGTTCTCCACATCTGGAACAATCATGTACTAACAAAGAAAAACAATTAAATCAATAAAACTTTTCTTTAAAGTTACGCAAATTTGGAAAGAAACCACATTAATGTGAATCTGTTCACATTCTCATATGGAATAAAGAAACCTAATGGGATACATTCTATCATGGATAAAATGAAATCTCAAAAGTTTGACAACAATTAGTGTTTACAACTCCCTTTAAACGACTGAGTGTAGAATATCCATGTTGTACCTGGCCACCAAGGGACTAGAACTGGGCCAGCCCTGGGAGCACAGTGGGGAGAGCTGATGGCTGTTGTGTGGTGATGGCCTCTAATCTTATGGTATTAATAGACACTGGGATTAGAAGGATCCAGAGGAACATCTGGGCTCAGTTCATAGTATCCACCACAGGTGTGGGAGTAGTAGGTGATGGCATTTTGACCAGCTGTTTCCCAACCCAGGAGTGGGGTAAAGGTTGGTAATAGGTGTCTTTAGCTCTAGCACCATTGTCTTCCAATCGTCTTATTTTAATACAATACATATTAGTAGTGACCAGAAAGTACTGCTACTAAATTGAAGGATGCTATACAAGGACCTATAGCACATTATTTGCTGGTTTTAATTTCTAGTGTCCTATAAAGAATAGAACTAAGGATTATTGCCCAAAGAGTATCTTTGGCAGGTGTGTTTTCCCTATTCCCTCTTGAAGAGGACACCATGGCTTCACTATGGAGTGTACGGTGACTGTCCAGACACACAGACTCTGCTCCTACCCCAGGAGGACAGCTTGAGAAGAGAAAAGCAACAGTTGGAGATATTTAATTTAGCCCTGTGTTTAGCCGTACTTTCATGGTATGCAACTTTCTCATTTGTTCAACTGTCCATTCATACATTAAAAAAAAAAAAAGTATTGACTGCCTTCTTTGTAACTGGCACTGATCCAGGCATGGGTGACAAGGAGTGAACAAAACAGTGGAGCTAATAGGAAAAAGAATATCGTTTTTGCACGTACTAAATCTGACACTCTTGAGAGCTATTCTGGATTGACCCGCATTAGTAGGACATCAGTGGGACTGAGAAAGGGTCAGCAGGTCAAACTGCCCATCCTCTTTCCCCAACCCCAGAACCTTAATACGAGCAGTAAAACGGAACAAGAGAAACGTAGATGTGCCCTCCTTTGCTTTACCGAGGCCTGGTATCTCGGATGCTGGCCATTTCCTTTCAAACCGCCCACTTCCATCATCCCAAGACAATATTATTGTTTCCTGGGGTTTCTCCTCATTGCTGGGGAATAGCATGCAACTCTTAATACATTAGAAGACAAAGCCACCATCATGATAATAAACTCCATGCAACTTAGAAAAATCTTTACCAAACAGATGACACAGAGTTGAACATCACCTGCCCAGCCCCTCCTGTCCACCACAAGCGTGCCTGCAGGGCCAGACTTGACCACCTTCCCTGGGTGGGGCTCCAGTTTCAGGGTTAGAGGCGAAGGGAAGGCAGGCCACAGCAGTGTTCCAAAAAACCAGTGGTTTTCAGAGTAGGGAGGCGAGGCAGCCTTCCTAGGCACAGGATGCCTGAGTGAAGAGGAGGTTAGGAAAAGAACCGCAGGGGAGAGGGGGTAGCAGGAAGTCTAGACAAAATGAGCAGCAGCTGGAAAGAAAAACTGGGGATAAAACCACAATTTTTTTTTATTGTAATAACCCAAACCGAGAAGCAGGCATATTGCCATGCTGACCATAACTATGAGACGGGCCTTATACTCCATCATGAGATGAGTGACAGGGTGAGTAAGTGAGGGCTGAACCTGGGGGGTTATTCATGGCATGCCCGAACATGATATCTCACAGACGGGGAGATCCCCCGGCCAGCAGAACCATTACAAACTGTCTGCTCCCCACATTCGTTACAAGAAACATGAGGCACTCCAATAAAACCCAGCTATTGGCAGAGGGAAGTCTAACATCTGACTTGTGAGGCAAAGAGAGCCAGCTGTTCCAGCCTCCGGGAATCGACGAGAACTTCCTATTTCAAGCCGAGTTCCCAGCGGTCCCATGGCTCAGGAAAAAGAGGCTGAACTCAGCCTCTAGACACATACCCTGGCCAACAGCAGGGGCGCTGCGGGCGTCGTCAGCCTCTTCAGTGCACTGGGGGTTGAAATGAGACACCTCAGGGAGGGCTGGGAACAAGAGGGGGGCCAGGTGAACCTGGGCTGGGAGAGCAAATGAGACAAGAGACACAGGAGTGAAGGCCTGAAGTCCAGCTTGTAGCACAAAGGTGGCCTGGCTGTCGCAGGCCGCCGGGGAGGCCTAGATCCACGGGCCCCAGGCCCCGGTGCCCTTGGGGTCACAGCGGGGGTCCTGCGCCGGGAAGTACACAGGCACCGAGTGTTTGTGGTAGAACTGCAGGCGGGAAAGGAGCTGCTTGACAACGTGGGGGTGGTCACTCGACAGGTCATGTCTTTCTTCTGGGTCCTGGTCAATATCAAAGAGCCACAGGGTCTTGGTCGGTGGGTCCGAAGAGGGGATCACAGAGACGTTGTGCTGAGACGGTGGAGGAAACCAGCAACCACAGCCTGGCAAAGAAATCCGATGGTTTACTGGGGGAGAAGCATCACGGGCGGGTTCTCATTTCAAGGGAGGAGACTGGGGCATAAGGCTGAGCGGGACGTGAGCAGGAAGCCACACAAAGATGCAGCCCTGGATGCTGCAGCTACGTCTGCCTCAGGCTCTGACTTCTGGTGCTTTAACTAGACGTGGTTCACGGGTTCACGATCAGGGGCTTGCAGGAAAGCAAGGGCTCGCATGCGTGCGTGGGGGGGGGTGCGGTGGGGAGGGTGTGTAGTTGTCCCAGGGACTCGGGGCTACTGGCACACAGGCATCACGGGCCAGGGAAGCTAAGATGCCTTGCGATGCTCGGGCGCTACCAACCAAAGAACTGGCTTGCCGCAAATGCCAAGAATGTCGTCATTATCAATACTGCTAATGGCATCACAGTCTTAGCCATCACACCCCATATTTTAAAAGTATTTAAAGGACGTCATTTTTAGAGACTGTGCTCCGGGGAAGCAAGCACGTCCCTCAGCCACCCAGCTGGTTAGGACGTAGCTTTCAGAGGTTCTCCTTGCAGGCAGGCTAGTACCCGACAGCACACGGCCCTGGACTCCTTATTTCCCATGAAACATGAGCATGGCATTGCTTCCTTTCAACACCCCCCCCCCCCCCGGCCTACAGTTAATTCTCAGTCTTCTGTCGGGACAGTAGATCAAACCACTCTTCCTCATTCAGCTGCCCCTGAGGTATGTTCTGCAAGGCAGCTGTCACTTCCGTAAAGGTTCCCTTGCCCTTCTGGGGGCAGGAGCTCAGCATTGTACCTGGGTAGCCAGTGAGAAGTTTCCAGTTCCCGTGTCTAATTGCAGCATGGAGAGATGTGTTGAAGGAGAAATATCCTGGATGAGAAGAATCATCCTTTGCTGGAGCCAGGCTCTGCCCAGGACCTGGGAAGAAACCGGGTGGAAGCCTTAGATCTCTGCTATTGAAATGTGTTGTTACAAATCAACATTTAACAGCCTTCTTGTTGACCAGTAGCTTCATTCAATGCTGGGGTGTGAACGTGTCTCCCGCCACGGAAGCGAATCTTCTATTATATATGAACAGAGAGCTCTAGCTACACTGAACAGCATAGACCACCGCAGATAGAAAGGGAATCCCAAAGAGATTAGAACACGAATTCATCCTTAAAATCACTGCGTTCTAGGGTGTGATCCTGGGATCCTGGATCGAGCCCCGCGTCCGGCTCCCTGCATGGAGCCTGCTTCTCCCTCTGCCTGTGTCTCTGCTTCTCTCTCTGTGTCTCTCATGAATAAATATATAAAATCTTTAGGAAAAAAAATCACTGCCTTCTGCAGAGGTGCAGCCGGCCCCTGCAGAGCAGTGGTCTGTCACAGCAGGTCAGGCTGTTCTCTGTGTGTGCCTGTTTTCTTTTTGCTGTTAAATGCTCAAATTAGATGAATATATATCTTAAACTTTGTTACTGATAAAGTAGATTGGAGATAACAGAGCTCTAGGTCTGCGGCACAGAGGCCTTTCTTTCTTTCTTTTTTTTTATTATTTTTTTAAAAAATTTTTTTTGTGATAGTCACACACACACACACACACACACACACACACACACACACACACAGAGGCAGAGACACAGGCAGAGGGAGAAGCAGGCTCCATGCATGCACCGGGAGCCCGACGTAGGACTCGATCCCAGATCTCCAGGATCGCGCCCTGGGCCAAAGGCAGGCGCCAAACCGCTGCACTACCCAGGGATCCCCACAGAGGCCTTTCTAACAACGGACTCTTGACTTAGACTAAACCTCCCACCACTGATCTTGCTGGACTCCCACTGGGCTCCCTCGGGGCTGAGAACCGACTGGGGTGCCTACAGGCATCCTGGGGCAGACACACAGAAGGTCTGAAATGAGCAGCTCGGTTCCTTCTGTCGGCGATTCCTCCTCCGCCAGCGGTGAGGGGTGGATAAAGTGCAGCGGAAGAGACCTGACGTCTACTCTAGGGACCCTGGTGAAGGGGCGCCTTAGGGAAGCGGCTGCCCTTGCTCGCGTCGTGACCCTGGGGGCCTGTGACCCTGGGGGCCTGGGATCGAGCCCCGCGGTGGGGGGGTGGGGGCAGCAGGCTCCAGCTCCCAGGGGTGGGGGAGTGGGGAGGTGGAGGGGGGTGGGGCAGTGGGGGGGTGGGGAGGATGGAGGGGTGGTCAGGCTCCGGCTGGGGGGTGGGTAGGGGAGTGAGTGGGGGGGAGTGAGGGGACCGCGGGGGGGGGGGGCGGGGGGAGTGGGTAGGGTGGAGGGGCGGTCAGGCTCTGGCTGAGGGGGAGGGGGGCGCTCCGGGTCGGGGGGGGGGGGAGTTGGGAGGGTGGAGGGGGGTGGGGCAGTGGGGTGGGGGTGGGAAGTGAGTGGGGAGAGTGAGGGGATGGAGGGGGAAGGGTGGGGGAGTGAGTGGGGGGAGTGAGGGGATGGAGGGGGGAGGGGGTGGGGGAGTGGGGAGGGGCGGTCAGGCTCTGGCTGGGGGTGTTGGGGGGAAGTGAGGGGATGGAGGGGGGAGGGGGCGGGGGAGTGGGCAGTGGGGAGAGGCGGTAGGCTCTGGCTGGGGGGGCAGGCTCCAGCTCCCCGGTGGCGGTGGGGGTGGGTGGGCTCCAGCTCCCCGCGGGGAGTGGTTCCAGCTCGGGGGGGGGGGGTGGGGGGTGGGGGGGCAGGCTCTGGCTCCCGGGGAGGGGGGGTGTTGTGCCAGCGACCCTGGAGGGACATTCTTTTTTTTTTTTTAATAAATTAATTTTTATTGGTGTTCAATTTACCAACATACAGAATAACACCCAGTGCTCATCCCGTCAAGTGTCCCCCTCAGTGCCCGTCACCCATTCACCCCCACCGCCCGCCCTCCTCCCCCTCCACCACCCCTAGTTCATTTCCCGGAGTTAGAAGTCTTTATGTTCTGTGTCCCTTTCTGATATTTCCCACACATTTCTTCTCCCTTCCCTTATATTCCCTTTCACTATTATTCATATCTGGAGCGACATTCTGGGGCGGGAGCCAGCACCCGGGGGCGGCTTCAGGCCTCCAGTCCCTGAAGCCACGCACCGACCCCCGGCCACCGCTCCCCGGTGCCCGCGCGGGGAGGCCCTGGGGCACCGGTGGCTGCGTGTCTTGCTCTGCTCCCCACAGGGGTCCAAGGGCCGCCTTTGGGTACCACACAATGTGGGATGGAACAAGTGCGTTGCAAACATAAACAATGGGAGGAAATTTAGCTCTCTCGGCCAGACTTCTATTTCTATACATTTTTTTCTAAAACAGGACCATAAAATACCTAAGCAATGAACAAGCAGAAGACTAAATGATGGAAGATGCTAAGGTGTCAACTCTAGTTTTATCTTACTGAGAAATTAAACAAAGAGAAAATTACAAGGAATAGTTTAACTAACACCCCCCCACCCCCCACTCCCCGGGGAGCCAACACCTACAATGGACAGATGTTAACATTCTGTCCTGCTCGCTTGGAAAAAACAAAACAAAACAGAAAGGAAACAGAGCAATGACAATGAAGGGACAGTTTCCATGTGACCATTTGTCCCCAATACCTCATGCCCTCCCCCTGGGGCTGCAGCGGTCAGGGCTTCAGTGCACAGTGAATCCTGCAGTCACTTAAAAACAGAGGGATATATGCATGCATCAAAGAATAATATCTAGACTTGTTTTATACTGTAAGAATGTCCATGTATATGTCATACATACTCTGCAACTTGCTATTTTCATCCACACAGTATTTTTAGAGCTCTGTGATTATGTTTGTATATATACATATACATATACATATATATATACACACACACACACGCACACACATATATATATTCCTTTTAACTGTCTGGTATTTCGCTATATAAAAAAATCACATTTATCCATTTTTCTATTAGGCATTTCAGTTACTTCGATTATTTTTTTTCTTTTTTCTTTTTTTTTTTTTTAAAGATTTTATTTATTTATTCATGAGAGATGCAGTGAGAGAGAGAGAGGCAGAGACACAGTCAGAGGGAGAAGCAGGCCCCATGCAGGGAGCCTGATGTGGGACTTGATCCCAGGTCCCCAGGATCAGGCCCTGGGCTAAAGGCAGCACTAAACCACTGAGCCACCAGGGCTGCCCCCCCCCTTTTTTTCTATTATAAACTCTCCTGCAATGAACACTGTTGCCCTCGACTCCTTTTGAGTGTGGAGGCCGAGAAAATTAAGGCCATTCCACTTTAAGTTCAGCGTTAGCACAAGTACAGCCATCCCAGGCCCCTGTGAATAAGAGCTGAAATTTACATTACTTCAGTTACAGGAAGAAAACAGCTTACAGCTTGCCCTAGAAAGCCCCATATTAGAATGAGAACAGAGCTCAATGCCTGTGGCAGAAAGTCTCATATCAGAATGAGAACAAAGCTCTATGCCCTTGAAAGCCCCATATCAGAATGTAAACAGAACTTGAGAAATTCCTCCATCCCTTCTGAAAATCCCTTAGACCAGCCTATAAAAAACCCAGCTGTAACCCACTTCGGGGTCCAAGTCCCTGCTCCGCTGTGTCAGGTATACTTGGACCCGAGCTCGAGCTTGTAAATAAACCCTCATGTGTCTGCATGGGTATCAGCTCCTTGGTGGTTTCTCGGATTCGCAATCTTGGGCACAACATTGAGCATGAGCAAGAGTTTTTCTAGGATTTCTAGATTTGTGTCTAGTTGCAAGGTGCACACATTTCCAATGTTACAACACACACTTAATTGGCCCTCCTCCTAGTAATTAACCCCTTTCTCCATACCCTCCACCTGGTACTTTCAGACTTAAAATTGTTGCCTATCTAAACATTTTATACAGAATCTTCATTTTTTTAAGTCATTCAATCAGCAAGAATGATCTTTCTTTTTCCCTGTCAATCTAAGGGTTGCTTTAAAAAACATTTTTAAATGACATCTATAGAGAAAAGTGCACAGAAGATGCTGATGAAGCCTGCACGTTCGTCTTCCACTCAAGAGCCAGGGCATTCCTAGGACTTCAGAAGCCCGTGTGGGCAGCCTCCAGTCCCACCAGTCTCTCAGAAGGAACTGCTTTGCTATCCAACCCTGGAGTTCTATCTGCCTGCTTTTGAACTTTATGTAAACGGAAACTAAGCATGTTCTTTTTTACTTCCGGCTCCAGCTGATCGCATAATGCTGGTCAGATTCACCCTTGGTGTTGAGGTTCAGCCTGTTCCCAACATTATTCGTTTTCATTGCTGGCTGTTATTCCCTTGCATGGAAGTTCCACAACCTCTTGCATTTAGGACCCCCAGGGGATTGATCTATGTGTGTGAAGTGAGGTAGGACTTGAGATTCATTTTTCAAAGATGGCTATCATCTGACCAAGACTGTTGAAAAGACTTTCTTTTCTACTCATCTGCAAGGACACTTTGTCAAACATCTTATTTCCATTTGTGGTGGTGAGTCTCTCTCTGGAGCAGCATGGTCCAACAGAACTTTCTTTAGTGAAGGTGCCATATCTGTGCTGCATGTGGCTACTGAGCAGGTGAAATGTAGCTAGTGCAAATAAGGAAATTAATGTAAATGTCAATTGCCACCTGTGCCTAGTGACTACTGCGTGGGACAGCTGAGCTCTAGAGTTTCTATTCTGTACCACTAGTCAATTTGTCTGTCCTTATGCTAATATTACACTATCTTAATTACCGTGGATTTATTACATGTCCTCCTATCTGGTAGTATATGTCTCCAACTTTGTTGTTCTTGCAGACTGATTTCGTCATTATTGGCCTTTTGCATTTTCAAGATGAATTTTAGGAGTGTTTTGTTAAATTTCACAAACTAGCTGCTACGATATTGATTATGATGGTATTGATTCCGGGGATCAATTTTGGGGTATTGCTGTCTTAAAATATTGAGACTTACAATTCATGAGACTTACAAATCCAGCTT